CTGGGTCTTATATATTTGGCATGGCAAATAAGGACATGAACCAACCACACTCTGCCTTTTAGCATTTCAAAGAAACTGTTCCATACCTGTGAACTAAACCATGCATTTTGCCCTATTTCTTGCCAAGTTTGATTAATTTGCTCTGATGTTGATCCTGTTACTGGTATACAGCTACTGATATCTAAATTTAAGCATGTTTGGGTAATAGCATTTGTTAATAATTGCATTCTTTAGTAATAGTATTTATTACTGTAGACATAGGCACATGAATCAACCTGGAGTGTTTTTGGGAGTTCACAGAGCAAGAAAAAACATCTAAAACATCAGGGTTTTTGCTGCAGAACCAAGCTGTTTCAGGCAAATATATGAGAAACACGGAAACAGTTAAAAAAAAAAAAAAGTGTTTACTGCTTTTTCTTGTAAGTTAAATATTCTGTCTGACTATTGTTTTCACATTCAAGATTCTACTTTAAATAGATAGATAAAAATGCATACCACTGCTAAACAGAAAATTCCTTATCCTTTCCTTGAGTAGAGCTACGTGCAGTACCATCACTGGCTTGTTCTTGCTGCTGCCCCACACCTTTCCCTGCTGCATTACGCTCCCATCCCCTCCCTTGCCCTTCCCTCACTGTCTGCCATTTCAGCAACTCTGCACTCTGCTCAGCCCACAGAGATGCCTCCACCCATTCTTTCTTCCCTCATCTTTTTGCTTTCCATGCTCTTCTCCCTCTGCAGCCCTGCTCTCAGGCAGACTATCTCCTGGGCTTGCGCTGGCTCAGCCTGCTTGTCTAAAGCAACAGTAGTTTCCCATTGCTCCCTTACTTTCCATCGTCTGACACAAAAAGTAACATTAGGATTCAGGTCTGGTAGAAATTCTAACATTCTCCTTGTCTCAGAAGCTGAGGGTGGGTAAAGCAGGTTTTATAAAAGCCAAATTATTATAGTAATGGTCTTTATCAACATTCTGTGCCGTACACTTCACTCTTCTCTAGGCTTTTTGACGTTTAGTATTCTTGTCTCAGGGTAAACACACACAAAACTAAATATTGGAATGAATTCAAACTAAGCATACTCACAAAAAACAGTGTAACAAAATAATATTTAAATAGGTCCATCTGCTAAGATCTATGTAGATCTGTAGACCACACTGAGATGGTGTTTTTGCTTTGCTGAGGTAAGAGCCAGAAAAGAAAAGATCAAAATGAAAATCACAATGAAACCTCTTTACTGCATATGTTTTTTGATATGACAATTTACATCTCCTACTAGCTGTTAAGAAGTTATAATCTGCTTCTCAGATGCCCTTTGATTCACACAAAACTATTTTCACAAGGAAAAGGATCAGGAAAATTACGGAGTTTCTAAAATAATCTGTAAGAAAACATTATCTGACCACAGCTCTTTTGTCCTCTGCTCCTTCCCCTTCCACACATACCCCTTCAAACAAGACGGAGCTCTTGTGACAGGATCTCTGCATGCACAATGTCCATAAGGTGCCCCGGCTACAATGTTCACATTCTAAAATTCTGTTTTAGGAATCCTTCCCTGAAAGGGACTGGCATAAACCTGCTGAAGTCTATGGACAAATAGATCCCTATCTGACTTAAGGGTCGTGATCTTTAAGTCAGAACTATGAATCAACCTTTCTCATCATTAAAAATTAACCTTCAGTCAACCCTAAGTGCATGTCTAGAGACGTGTCATACTGGAACAATCAGAGTTGCAAACACATAGGAGTGGCAATTCCCTTCCAAAAATCTTGTCTGGCCAGTTCTGCTTACGCCCTCTCACAGCCACCAGGAAGAGCCAACAGCGTTCCCACTGCTTGGAATTCAGCAACAGATGCTCATCAGTAGATACAGGGGGAACTTCTGAGAAAATAGCATCTATGTTCTAATAAAGAAGAACCACTGCACATCTGTAAACTAGAAATGCTGCTGTTCAGCTCATTCCAATGTACAAACTTGCAAAGGTGAAAGGAACTGGATCATCTACAGCCTTCCCAAAGCTCATAACAGAAGATGAGCTGTCCTGATAGTGCATTTCGAAACACTGTTCAAAAGTAAATTTTGGAGAATGATTGATGTCTTCCATCTTGAAAAAATCAGGGCTTCTGTTTTCCCCACGCAGTAGAATCTGCTGGGGTATCTGGTAGGAAATATTAGTGTTCTCTGGAGCAGAAGCAGGCGTCTATTGGGCAAGAAAGGAGAAGGGCCTCTCTAAGGTCGATCTGGCTAGTCAGGGCAAGTGTTTCCCAATATCTATTTACTTTAGCTACAAGGCTGCATGTAGAATATTTGCATTGCATGAGATGTCTCTAAAGACATCTCATTTACTTGGTTCAGCCTCCCTCAAAGAGGCGCAGAAAAAGAAGAGAAAAGGGTCAGACAATTTTTGTGTGGCTTTTGTGACCTTGAGCTGCAAGAGCCCAAGGACTTCCTTGGTCACTGGACTACCTCATTTTGCAGCCAACAAGCTGCATGGAATCACTGCAGATATCAGCAAGGCAGGTCTCTTTACACCTTTTGCATTCACCTTTAATATAAAGAACTTTCCAGATAACTCTTAAATAGGCTGCCTGGCATCACAGCAGAGCCTGTAAGCTAATGTCTACATACCACAATCCTCGTGCAGTTCAACATAAGCAGTCTTCTGAATGGTAAACAAATCAATCTGTTTATTAATAGCCATTAATATTAAAGGGTCAGTATATAACATTTATACTTATTGACTCGATACAACTGACTTCATATTCATCACTTTCACATGAAAATGGAATCGTTCTTGCCTTTGTATTTCAGATATTTTCTACAGCTGCTGAAAGAAAAGAAGCTAAGCCGGCAGGCTGGCACGTGGGGAACTCTGGCACACGGCACCAGTGCAGATAAAAACTTCTTTAGAGCTGGTGAATGCAGCACTGTAGCAGAGTGACATTTACCAGCTAAAACACTGTAACACAGCTTCACTGGGACGAAATGTCAGGGCACTGGTTAAAAACAAAACCAAGAAAAGCAGAAAACTTGCAGTTTTTCCTGTAAAGATATAAACATACATTTGCTGTATATCCTTAATGGACAAGCATTTGAGTACTGCTTGTATTCCCAAATAAAAATAATCAATTAGACCTCCCTGCTGCCCTGGTAATGCCCTTTCCTAACTGTACTAAGAAGCCTGAGAAAAGGATGTGGTTGGTAAAGACAGAGAGCTACTCAAAGAGGCAAAGGAGAGGAGAATGATACAGGATTGACCCAAATTGGGTTATTGTATGATCTTTGTTTATCTATGCAATAGAAGAGACCTACTTTTTTAACGAAGTAAGAAAAAAAAATTACAGCATAAGAAAAATTAGGCATTTTATGCTCCCTAGAAAGAAAATAGGGACTAAAAATGGTTACTTATAAATTCTGTTTTCTTCATATTTTTGCTAGACTGCTAAAACTCATCTTTGGTTGTAAACACTTCATTTAAACAGCTTATTAGCATTTGGGAACAGAAAGTAATGGTTCAGGCTGTGAAAGGCCAGAAGGTATCTCTGAGGTTTGTCAGAAAGGTCAAGGAAACCGAAACAGCCGTTCCTGATATTTTAAGGAAAGGGAAAAGGAAAGGGATTTAAAAAAAAAAAAAGAAAAGGAAAACAGGGGAGAAAGAGAGGAAGTGAGAAACTGGTTTGAACAACAATTGAAAAGCAGTCGGCACAGAAGACAAAGGAGTTTTCAAATATGACCATACTGCAATGTACTCACAGAACAGATTTGTGAAATAAGCTTTCCTATTTGCAAATAAGACTTTATTTAAAAACAAAAAAATAATTAAATTTCTCTTTCAAGAGGAAGGAGCATAAATCATTCTTGCTCAGCTCTGAGAAACAGCTTGAACCATCTACAGATGTGACAAAGCTCTTTGGCCAAGGGTATTGCCAGCAGACCCTTGATTCAGACACTGATTTTTACAAGCTTCCCACTTCACCTTGGAACGCAAATTCTGGCTTTGGAATGGGATTTCAAACATCAGCAAGATGTAACGACTAGAGAAAGCTGCTAAAAGGCAAGTCAAGTCATCTGTGCATTTTCATTTTAACTGCATATTCTTAGCTGATGACAGACACCAAAATGTTGTGTTGTTGATAGTCTGTCTTGCATAACAAAAATAAATAATGAAGCGCGTTAGCAAGTTATTATGTATAAAACCTTGAGAAAATCGGCTTTAGAAAACTCTTGAGACAAGGACAGACAAAAAAGCAAGCCTTTCACAAACTCAGTAGAAATAACAATAAACACAATTAAATGAGACACAAATACAGAATTCTAACAGGGGCAGAATGCACTGTCTCGATACAAAGAAATCTCCTTCAGGAAACTGCAAATCTGACCATAGAATAACTTAAGGATCTCTCAGAAACAAAGGAAATGGAGCAGAAAGAATGGTTACAATGACAGAGAAACCAAGCAGTCAGACTAAGTGAAAGCTATGCAAAGATCCTTGGTCTCTGAAGGGAAAACTACAAGAAAAACCACAATAACAAACTTATTTTTATGGATGGGCCAGTGTTGGATATTTAAGGAGTTTATTCCCTGTTATGAATTCAGAGCGTAATAAATGTCTTTGTGGGTGTTTTGCATGGGGGAGGGACGGGGGGCAAGAGGGGAGGAGTGAGTTAATGTTTTCTGTGGCACATGAAGTAGAATCTACAATGAACTCATTCGTACTCTGCCATGCAAATTATAGAATCTTACAAGCTTACCACCACTTGCTTGTTTTTAGTATCATCTTACTGTATTGAAAAATCCACATTTATGTACTGTAAAGTACTCAGCTGAACAATTTCTTACTTCACCTACAGAAGTACCAAGCAGCTGCATTACACCTACCTATGTAGCTGCTTGGTCTCAGCTGTGTTACCTTGTCCTGCCTGAAGATCCTCAGGGACCTGATTCAACTCACCTGGAGCCTGTGAGAAACACAACTGAGTGCAGTAGCTGTGCTGCAGCTCTCTCAATATTTGAGACTCCTCTAATGAAAAAGTTAATGAAAAGTATTGGTGAACAAACATTTCAGCTTTTAATAGTAAATATATTTACTTTATGAGCTTATGATTGAGCTGCAAGCCTGATAAGCCAAGAAACTTGGGTTGTGCTCGTGGCTCTGCTGTGGATTCAGCATGAGATTTAGTATATGATGCTTTCTCTTACATTGGTATTTTCTATCTTAGCACCAGGAAAACAATCAATTACTTCTTAGAGAGGATGCATCGAGACTCCTGTATATCCCTTTCACCAAAGTTCTCCAGGTATGGTAAGAATTGCTTTTTTGAGCATGCATTTGTATGGATGGCTAACACAGAAGAAACTGTGACTTTTTCATAGCAAGTAACTCTAAAAGGTTTCAAAAATAAATTATTGGTGTATGTGGAGGTATTGCAGTTATGACAGTGTTCAGATATTCTAGAAAATGTATGTCTGTTCAGTAATCAGAAAGGGGAAAAAAAAGAAAGAAATGTTAGAATTTATGAGAGAAAGGGATTTCTACTAAGCTTAATGTAAGTATGGGAGAAGGAGCATCCTTGTTCAGTCTTCTCCTATTTTAGCTGTTTAACATGTCTGAAAATTGAAGATTTGAACCTCAAGGAATACTACCTTAGTATTTTAAATCTTTTTCCTTCTAAAGCAGGATCCTTTTCAAATAATTCCTTGCTATTACTTTTATTGATGGGGGAGGAAGAAAGTCACTTTCCATTTGAATAATATAAAGGTCAATTAAAAACCTACTATTTTATTCCTTCTGAAGAATGAAAATATTACCCTGTTCACCTTCCCCTGCAAACTGTAAAAAAACAGCTAAGATTTCACACTATTTCCTGTTTAACTGTACTTACAGAACACAGACTAGGACAAAAAATCTACATGTGTAGTCTGGTGTAAAACAGGTAATTAAAGTAGAATGAATTATACCTGGATACACTTTTGTCTTCTACTCTCTCAATCATGTGAATAATCATGCGCACAAAAGATAGTTGTAGTTCTCTATAGCAAGAGCTTGTGTTCGAGCTAATCAGTGGTTACAGCCTGTAGAACTGCTAGGAAAATATTTATTGTCCACTTCTGGGCGTTTTATTGCTAAGTTTCATTGTTATTATCACATAATATCCACAGTAGGTGAGGTGCTCTTCAGAACAAGCAGAGACTTGTGTCATTCTGCAAGCAGATTACCCAACTAGGGCAAATCAGACCAGTGAATACCAGAATGGGAGAGAGATGTGGAAGAGTAATTACTTAAATTAGAATGTGCAGTTGGTTTCCTAATGTGCAGTACCTTTTCTCTGCTTTGATGGGAGTATTGTTTTCATCGAAGACTAAAAAAGGTTGGAGAAAGCGAGACAGAAATCCTAGCTGGGGTTTTCTCTAGGGGAGAAAAGCAGTAGTTTCATGAAATACTATGGACAAATCCACAACAGGATTTAACTATGACAGCACTAGGTATCATCATTTCTGCCTTCTAGGCGTTCAGTTGCCTGGCTCCAAGTTCTCATCCACTGTACTCAGAAGCAGGGAGCCAGATGATGCATTTCATGTCGATGTTGGTGCATAAAGCAGTAAAAGAAGCTCCCAGTTTCTGGATCTTAGCAGAGCTCAGGAATGTGACTACTTGACACTGTCAAGATGTAAACAACTCAAGACTGTTTCTGGGTGTGCCTAAGGACTTAACTGTTGGAAAGAAAGATAACCTGGGTCAAGAAAAGCCTCTGGAGTTAGGCACAACAGCCTTGGGGAAGAAAGAGTTAGAATCAAGACTTAGGTACATGTAGAGATGTGCAAGTTTGACTTTTTTTTTTTTTTTTTTTTTTTTTTTTTTTTTTTTTAATGAAGCTAACATTAAGTTTAACCATCCTGTATTTCAGACCAAAAGTGGCAGGTCCACAAGTGGAAAAAAAAAACAAGGAGAAGTAATTTCCATCCATATATGATGCTTTTGTAGATACATGGAAGCAGAACGGGACATGTGAGCTCAGTGTATTACTCAGCATGGCTGTCATGTATAAAATAAGAATAACAGAAACAATCAATTGAAAACAATAATGAAGGACAGGTAAGAAAATTGTACTAATACCCATCTGTTGGAATGTTTGTGCTGGTTATTACAACTTTAATTCAACAACAAGACTGTCAATGAGACCAGACAACATCATTACCTCTGTCAGGAGTTTGTGTGAAGAAACAGTGTCAGGAGTGACTTCCAAAAGAAACAGAGAGAAGGATAGAAGGTTGCTTAAAAAAGAACAAGATCACAACAGCAGATGTGGACCACAGAATGAACTCCCTACCTACATTACCATGGAGTGGGCCCGTGGTTTATTGCCACTACTGCTAAATTAATGGGAAGTAAAATTTTGACTTTGCGTAGACGTTGCTCATAATGCAACTCAGCAAAGGGTTTTTGCCAAGTAAGTGAAATAGCAGTTACCAAGCCACACACACCATCAGCTACAAACAGTGAGTACTGTCTTTCAGCAAGCTGCTGTTAGTGCTCTAAGCACCGCCTGAGTGTCAGCGCTTGATAAAGCGCTCGGTCAGAGGGCCATGAGAGATCTAACCTTTAGAATCTATTTAAAAGTAAAGTAAATATCAGTGTGTCTTTCATTAGCCAAGTATTCATTTAATTAGAACTTGAAGTATGTGTTTTAGGTTAGCTAAAACTATTTTCTATGCACATTAGTATCTTTGAAGCTACTGCAATACTAACTGCACTTGTTATAGCAAAAATGCACATGAAATACCTGCCTGAAATCTCAATTTTTACTGCTATTGCATCACCTCTCTGAAATGTACTGTGTATAAGCATGTCCAATAGGCAGTCACAGGAGACAGAGCTACAAGCTGGCTTAAAGTTGGTAACTTGAACGGCTTTAGATGTCTCTGGGTGTTCAGCAGAGGGTAATTTATGTTGTGGCTGCAGGGTAGCTGTACACAGCGTACACGGTACGAGGTGGAGGGGAAAACTAAATTCATATTCATTAATACCGAGAAGTTAAACAGATTTGGATTGCTCAACTTTGTTTTCTTTTTATAATATACAGCTTATATCACTGACAGTGTCAATCTGATATTCTTGCTCTTGCCTGCTTTGATTGTTTTGATCTTAGAAGAACAATAGTAGATCAGACAGTGTAAAATCTGAAGAGAGAAAGATTCAGTATACAAAAGAACGTACCAGATAGTCTTAATATTGCATTATACAAAGTTCACTTGTTATGAAGTGAATAGAGAAAAAAATGCCACCACCCAGATTTTGTAGTTTTCCACCAAGTTCTAATAAGAACCGTGATACATGGGACAATAACTTATTATTCGCCATAGTAATTTGTTGAAGTGCTATGAACTGAAGACATTCTGGGCAGAGCACAAAGAACGGAAAATCTTAGCTAAATGAAATAATGATCTCCTTTCACATAGCATACTGTGAACACTTCTGTAACAACTTGAGAAACTCGCTGCAGTGAATTTAACTGGTCTGGGGACAAGGCGTGTGTAATGGGATGTGCAGGCCTCACATGAGTCATACAAGAATTGGTAGGCTGCTGGAAGCATAATCAGCTGTGCAGATTTCAGGCTTCTATAAAAGTTTAAAAGGGAGAGTCCCATTCAGCTGACAGCTGGTGGGAGGGAGACAGCACAGCTTGCAGTACTTGCTGTGCAAATGTAAACTTCTTACTAGAGACTTCCCACGGGAAGGAGGCTCTAAAGTGGAAGGACTGCCTTCTTTGCCTGGATTAACCCCAGCTTTTCCAAATAGTGGTGGGCTGAAAACATCTGCTTATCTCAGGCCCTGCAGAGTACTAAAGCAGCAAATGTAGGATCTGCAGTGCAGTAAGGAATGGACCTACGGAGCTTCACATAGCACTTCTACACAATTTCATTACACTGAAGGAGCCAAGGTCTGACCCAATAAGTAGACACCCCACCTGTGGCTGAAAATGAGGACTGGATGCAATCACTGGACAGTGTTCTATCATGTGGTGCACTTGTAGCCTTTGTTTTCAGCTTAAATTTCAAGTATGCCAGAATAACTGGAATGACTGTGAGCCAGCCAAAGGGCTAGATCACATGAAGGTTTGTTTTCAGGGCTGGCAAATCTCAGAAACAACAAGGACAATGGTTCTGTGAGCAACAAGAAAACTGAAGACTAGGACCTTCTGAACTACTGACTGTAAGCGTATCATAGTAAGGCTGTAGCACTATCCCCTTTTGGACATCAAATAATCTACACAAGATCCAATAATTTTCTCTGTCTTTGGGGAAATCTCAGTGTGACTTGTCTACTTTCCTGTAACTGCTTGAGAAGGATTTGCATCTCTCCCTAGATAGCAGATCTTCCAACCCTTTACTTTGGTTTTAAGTTTCTTCTCATCCTTTCTCTCAGTGAAGGCAATAAAAATCTCTCTTCTCTGACCAGCTGCCTGTTTTCATGATAGGAGTTTGCAGTCTTTGAGGCTATGACTGCACATTAAATCTGGCTGTGGATGACGGTGTTACGAGTTGTTTGTGGGGGAATGAAGGTGTAGACAGAGTGTGCTGGCACAAGCCTTGCTTTCCTGGAATTTCAGGTCTCTGCACAGGAAGTCTATGTAAGGTTGATATGTTGTAAAAACTGCCCAGCAGAGATGTGCCTGCAAAACATTTTGACACCTATATTTCTGGAGTTCTGTATTTGGCTTTAAGAATATAAGACAATCATCACTTCTGACGTCTTAATTTTGTTACTTGGTTTAATACCTCTTAAGGGATTTAACTTTGCAGAGTGCAGATGCTCATAACTCAGAAATGGGCCTCTTGAAGATGATCTCAAACTGCACAACTAAACTAACTTTTACATTTCTTAAACTCTCTGAAGGCCCATTTTAAGTGTGGGTCAAGTCCTGCAAGACAGTAAAGGTCTCCTGGAAGTTGTTTAATTCTTTCTGAACTCACTGTCTTGAAGGAGAGTTAGGTGAAACTGCTTTCTCATGCAAAGTTAACTAAGAAGCTTTGCCAGAAGATTTTGAGAGATACAAAGGGGACGTAATGCTCAAGTGAATAAGTACATATGAAGTAACTCCTGTGCAGCTAGGTCTGCTGTTTCCCCCTATACAGCTCTTTTGGCTTGATAGATAAGCTTGGGTTGGCATAATTAACCTATCTGCTCCAAATCTTGCCTTTGTGCACTTAAAAGGTTTCAGTTCCTTTTGCAGTACTTCTCTTATCCTGCATTCCTTACACTGAAACTGCAATGCTTATTCTTTTCTCTAGATTTTGGGTGTCTGGAGAAGACTTCATTCAAAGGATTGAGCCTGTATTCTTCAAACTTGCAAATGTTCCCAACAAGCCTAAAAACAAGTGTAAGGATTTGGGGACCACATATACATACAAATGAATTAGAAGCAATTCAAATGCATCATTTCCTCCTGCAGTTCAAGAAAAAGTCTCCTTGACCGAAAATATACAGTACCTGTAAGTTCTGCTGTTTAAAATGATGAAGCTCTCAGCATGATGTAATCATGTGCTTGTTTCTTAACTCAGCATTGATTTCCAGGCCTAAAGTTTTTGATGGATCCTGTAAACTCCACCCTTTCTAGGTCTTTACTAATCATTTACATTCTGCTATGAGTGGGGGGAGAACATTTTCCTCTAAAGGTAATTAAGTATGAACAGTTGTTTTATATATTATACAGAATCTTTTCACTGGCAATGGTGAAGTGTTTCAATTCACTTTACTTTGATAAGTGTTTTAAAATCTTTATAGCTTTCTGACTTAATATGTTTTAAAGAATTCCTGAACTATGAGATACATACACAAGCATCTTGTAGTAGAGTATACACGTAGTATACAAGCTACTCTGAAGCAGAATAAGATTTGGCATAAAGCTAAAGATGTTTCTGATAGTGGCAGTACCAGCTGCTGTCAATGGGCAATGATGGTACCTGGCAAAAAAATCCTCCCCTTTAGCCCACTTTTAATTGTGGATACAGCAGAATCTTAGGACAGAAGTTTGAACTAGTGGTTTCCTTAAAGACTGCAGAGGTCTTAGGTCTTACAGGCCTTGATAAAATGTATTCTTAATTCTATGAGGACAAGTGTTTTATCGAAGTGTTCTATGGAAGCATTTGGCTTTCACTTTAAATTCCTCCCATAAACAAAAGAACCACAGAATTACATTTGTAACTTCCTGCTCTTCTCCTACAATGTATCCTGTTGACACTTTTAATAATACAATAAAGCTAGAGTGGGATTTTCCAGTCAGTTTCTTTTGCGTTATTTAGTTTTAGAAACGTATATATATTAAATGAAACCAGTGGCATAGCAAAGCAATTCCTAAACATTTTATGCCTTTTAATTATAAACTGTCCGCTTCATGTAAACATTCCCCTACTATTTCCCCCTGAAAATGAAAATCACTGTAAAAGGAAAAGTAACCCATTCCCTCCTCCCTCCCAACTTTATCTCCAATTTCCAAAACAGCCTTGGAAAACAAGAACTGGAAAGAAGACACTTCTGTTGTTCTGCACATTAAACTGCTCTAAAATCCAGGAAGCAAGGAGTTTTTGATCTCATAGGAGCTGACCAATATTACTAAAACTGATGAGATCAAATTATTCACAGCAGCTTCTCTAAATTTTCAAAACAGCTCAAATACATTTGAGCCTCTTTGTAAATCACCATATAGTTCACCAGTTGGAGCAAAAAAATTTGGTGTACAAACATCCTATGTGTGTGTATATGCATGTTGCTACTAAATTATGCAAAATAACTTGTAACTGCACAAGTTCATACAGGTTTCACTGAACTATTATATTTGAAAACACATTAAAACATTCATTTGAAATTCTGTTAAAATGCCTTTTTAACAATGAGTTTGGATATCTGAGTCCTTAATATGACAAACTCAGCAGAAAGTCAGCTTTCACTGAATTTTTACTTAAAGAATTATAAGACTTAAACCTGGGAGTCCAACGTGCGACCTTTTGAGAGCTGCATTAATACGAAACTTTATTGATCAGATATGTCATAGTACTTTATTTCTGTAATCTGACAAACCTGAATTCTGATTTGATTAAGTGTGTGGAATATTTAAATATATATTTTGTAATTAGCAGCTGTGGGGGGACTGCAGCTTTGTGAGCAGCTTGAAAAGATTACCAAAAGTGAGAGGAATCTGGTTGCCACTGCAGCAATGATGTTTTTGTCATCAGATGAGATAATTAATTGTCAGACAGCCAAAGACTAAGTAAATATGCATGTAGCTGAAAAGTCTATGCAAACAGAAGAATTAAATCTGCACATATTCCTACTGCTCTGAACCTGTCTGTTCCAGACTGGTCATACCATTTCAGGAGTGAAACCAGCTGACAGTATAACCAGGTTTTCAAGCAGAGTTTGTGCTGTTGCAATCCTGAAGAGATATGATCAAGAACCTGCAACCTTGTTTGTGCTAGCTTTGCCAGCATTAACAAGGGGGTGACAAGCTCCCTGGTGTTACCTGAAAACTCTGAGGAGGGAGACTGGTATTTGCTAATCTAATTCACGAACACTGCAACCCATTCTGTTTCTTGGTATATTGTAACTATTCTTTCAGCTTGTAAAATTAAAAAACTTATGTCCTGTAAAATGTACATCTAAGCAGATATATGAGATCTGCAATGTCTTGGTATTCCAAACGCTTCTGTGATTAGATTATTAAGTTCTTAGTAAATTAAAATGTACCTACCAAATCTGGTTTCAGTCTGTATGTCAAAGGAAGGGAATAAAGAATGGAGTATGCGGTTGTTACCACGGAGGAGGTCCAAGACTGTCTAACCTCACGGCTTCTGGGAATGCGATCAAGGGTGAACTGGAAGAGAGCACGATAAAGCTGAATTGTTATTTTTCTAAGACTGTTGCTCCTTCTATAGACTTATTAGACCTGCCTGTGCCAACATTTTTTTAATTTTTAAGTTGAGTATGGAAATGCTTGGGTAGATGCCTTATTCAGTATTGTGCTTAGCACCCCTGGTGACGAGGTTAAACGAAATACTAGAACTATATATCAATTTTTTGAATCGTTTCTAATGTTACTTTAAAACATTCCTAACCTTAAAAACAATTCTGGAGCAATTCGTCTGCTGTACGTTAACTTTGTGCCCCTCCTAGTGGCCGCCGAGACACACTCACAGGTTTCAGAAGCCAGGGCCCAAACTAGGTGGCTGTCTTCTATTACTTGCTTCGACTCTATGTGGATTTACATTGTAGAAAATATAACAACATTTCTCAATTAATGTCCGGTGCATACTGTTAAAATCTAACAGCAGATATCTGTGTCCTTTAAATGAGTGCTCAGTAAGTATTCAGAAGAATATGAAGATGCATACTCAAAATGCAAAACATTTGCCTAAAGAAACAAAAATAACATCTCATAGAAAAAATAAGTTTAAGAAATATTTTTTCTTTGTTGTTTTCCTAGAAAAAGGTAAAGATCTTTCACTGTGTGTAACGGGTATCAAATTAACAAAATACAGATGTTTTCTGTTTGTCTGAGAACACTGTGCACAAGCTAACTGTAGTCAGGCTAGTCAGGCTTCCTGTGCTCTTCTCAAGTGACACAGAAATCCCACTTAAAAATTATTGCTGCAGCAAAGGTCAGTCCTGATGCCAATTAATTTTTTCATTGTTTAGATGAAAAATAAATACATTAAGTACAGTGCACTCTCCTCCAGTGATACTGATATTGTTTAGGTCTGGACGTGGTCACTAACTCCCTTCACATGGGACACCAGATCACTACTGCTCTGGCAGAACTCATACAGAGAGTGAGAGACTCTAAATATTATTAATATTTTAATATTTAATATTAAAATAATATTTTAAGCACTAAAAACTCCCCATTTACTGCAAATGCAACATTTCTAAGTAACAGAGCTTAGTCCTGGTGATTTGTGACCAGGAGCGTTAGCAATAGCTGTGCATGAAATGCAAACTACATATCAGTCTTGAATAGCAGTAGCTGAGGGCTTTATCACACACAGTGGAAAGAATTAAACACAAAACCTTACAAAGGCAGAATATTAAATTAACTTTCTTGACTGAAATCTTGTTTCATTGCAATAAAGTTTTTTAATTGTAATAATGGGAAGCATTAACAGATGTTACGAACTGGTTGTTTTGCTCTATTTGCAGGTGTTGAAACTGACTGCATTAGTCTGATGACAAAACAGAAAAACAAACAAGGCCCTTGCTCTCCATTCAATGGGATTCTCTCTCTTTTTCAAAGGTTTGGAACAGATCAGATGATAAAAAGAAATGTTTGTAAGTGGAGTTTAGACTTTTGTGTGGTATGACATCCTGCAATAAATATGTATGACAAGGTAGTTTTAGACAGATCAAGCCTGAGTGGAACTATTCAGATGCTCCCCTTCACAGTAAGAATGGTGTTAAATAATATTTGCCAAAGACCTGCACATAATTTTCTTCTTGATAAGCAACTGATTTCAGCAAAACTTGGAAGGGACCCCAAATAGTATCAAAGTAGCAATTTACATGTAGCATTCAAGTAAACATCAAACTGATTTCATCTGTATTCTTCAAAACACACTTCTGAAACTTTTCATTCTGTGGTCTATATTACATGTTGGAACTTCAGCCCATGTGTCAGTCAATTATTGAGTATTAAGCTGGGGAAAAAAATTAGAATTTTGTTTAAAAGGTACTGCCAGGTGTTTCTCATCTAATGTTTCTCATCTAATATTCTGAACAAAGAGCACTCCTGCATCTTTTGTTGGAAAACTGCACAGTGTGTACGCAGTATCAGACATAGACAAGCTATGCTCCTATCTTCTGTGGTCTCATACTATTGCATTTCTTTTTCAGCACTTCTGTAATGGAGTCAGAGACCTTGCTGTTTGAGGACAAACGTTCCAGACTGGCAATTCAATAATGGTTGATGGAGTACTGTAATTTAAAAACCAGTAATGTAGTCTTTACCTAATTAATAGTACTGTTTTGCAAGCATGCAGACAAAAGTTGATGAAAAATCACCCCTGCTAAAATTATTGCAGTATTCTCAACTGAACATTCCACAGACCTTCCAAATAACCTGGCTTTATGCAGTCCTTTTTCATGCTGAGGAACAAGATTTCCTATCATGATTACTTTCATGAAACATGGGAACACAGAGTAGCATATGTGATCAAATTACACGAAGGCTAGTGAATCAGGCTCCTCTTCTCAGACATGATGAATGGGAATATAAGATCCTGTGAAGAATGTCTAAGTTGTCTTTCTACTGCTAGACTAGGTCATTGAGAGCTCAATTATGTTCTCTATGCTGAGTGCAGGAGGTAAGCTGGGTATCAGCTGAGGGGGCAACCAAGCACAACAGCTGCGATTATGGGCTAGAGAGAAGCGAAAGGTAAGTGATAGTGGGACCAGAGATGTCATAAAGAGGCTTTTCTGATTTTCTTTTCCAAAAGATTTAGTGGGTAGAGATGCAGCATTTTCTTTCTTGTAAGATAGATGTTGCTTCTGGCTTCCTTTCCCTCTCTCTGAATTCTGTAGCTTTTAGAATTGGGATGAGCCATACATCAAAAAGAGAAATTTGTCATATCTGTGGGTCTTTTACACAGTAATTCACTAAATGAATACACTGATTTTCTCTTCAATCACCATTATCACCTGTCTTCTGCTCAGTTCTTAGTTCTGGAAAATATACTTCCTTGACAAGAAGAGGAAGAGAATGACTATGGATTGAAGCTGTCAGTTTTCCCCTTTGTTGACTCAAAACTACAAGAAGCCACTAACACATTAGCTTTGAATGCATATGATGCATACGTATTCCAGCACTCAATGCCAAAACATGTCTTGGCTGAGAGCATAATCTGAAAGTTAGCAAATATATGTGATAGGCACGTGACCTTTGCTTTACAAATTCATCTTCTATTTTTGCTCTGAATGTTTTTCCTCAGTGGAAAAAGAATGGCCAAAATAAAGAGCATCTGCTGTGCAGACAGCAAACTCAGATGCGGCCAACTATGTTCCTCTGGCTTTCAGTGCTCAAGGAAAATATAACTACATGATGTGTTAGCAGTTGGAGGGAGTCAGAACGTGAAGTTGCTTAGCAAAACTAAGTATACAAATGGAAAAAATGCCTAACCTTTTAAAACTCAAAATATTTTTAAGAAATGTAATGACCTAGGTTTGGACATTTTTCAGGTAAGTGAACTGGGAGTTCAGCATTCACTCAGGTGATCAGTCAGAAAGCTACTGGCAGTAAGATGTATTACCTCCTTTTAAACACCTCTCTAACTAATGCTCAGTTTTAAAACCATATCAAATCACCATTCAGAAACACACAAGAGGGATACAATTCCAAGTAAGTTTTTTTTAGACAAAACATTTTAGATAAAACATTTTTAGATAAAACATTTAAAACACTTATCTCAAAAATAATTTCACCAAGGGAAAAGGCCAAACTGAAAAACACAAAAAATAACAAACCACCATATTTCTGTCTCCATACTTTTATAGCTACAAGCAATACGTCTAAGTCATTTACAAAACCAAAAGAAACTTATTCTTAGTGTGCTTTTCCTAAGCAACAGATTCCCTTCTTTCTATAATTACTTTCACTACAATTACACTTTCCCACTGTTTTTTATCAATTATAACGTTCACCAGAGGTAAAGATCATTTCAAAATTAAGTAAGATGGCAGTAAATGACATTTATTTTCAGGTATTTTGCATTTTCAGGGTCTATCTAGTTCAGCATTAATCAACTGTGTTTATTTGGCTCACTTTTAGCAACACAAGAAACAGTATATACAGAGTGGCACTTCAGCTGAGCTTCAGTGGCAGTGATTATCAATCACTAGAAAATCAAAAGCACATGCTGATCTTAAAAATAACCTTTTAAAGAATTGCTTCCAAATTGCCTTGAATTAGAATGTCGCATTAAGATCAAATTATCTTACAAAAATATGCTTAACAATTTACCTGGGAATTGGAGAACCTTTCAGCCCTTTTTTGTTCGAAAGAACGTATTTTAGCTTCACTCATCTTATCAGAGTCTGCAAGAACATAGCATCTAGGAGAGTATGACTCTGACAAACAACTGAGCAACCTCAGGATTTCTGTTGTGTGACCTCCTGCAAAACCGAAATATGTTGCTGTTAGTATATGAAACATTTTGTAATTTTCAATTTTTTCAGTTGAATTAGTCACTTTTACTTTTAAAGCTTATTAGTACTAATAATATTGGTAACACTCTTCTAAAATGAGAAGATTCAATTAAAGGATGATTGAGTAACACGAAGGCAATTCAGCTCCCAGTGCAGCTAAACTGATGGAAGTGTTTCAGCTAAATGAGATCACAAAGAAATGAGACGTTGAATGTCCTGTACATGATGCAAAATTAATTTGGCAGTTGCACTGTAGTCCATATTAAAAAACCACACCCTAGTGCGACTGTCCAAATAAAACTACATGAGAGCCCACTCGTGGCTGCGCTGTGGAGCAGAGACTCTCAGTGAGCACATTGAGTGCAGGCAGAATTCAGGGACTGTGCTATCCCAGCTCGTAATGCTGAAAACATATTGGCAATGATTTCTGAAGCTAAGCCAGGGTAAAAGCTGAGTGCCGGGACACAAACAGTCTGGCCCCAGCCGAAGGCTTCACCTACTGCCCTTGAATGGGTGTTGACAACCTTCTAACTGCAAGGTCACTTTGTTCAGGGAGCTGAGCTGGCAGTAAACCAAAGAGAAGGGGAGACAGTACTCTCGCTATGGCGTAGGGCTGATCTTTTTGTCAGTTTGGTTTCCAGAACTGAAGCCATGTGAATAATTGTAACAATGAAGTGGGGAGGGGGTCACCTGGGGATCAGTTTGGCTGGATCAAAATACCAAGCCCTGAAATATGTGCATGGCCATTTACTGGGTCTATTACCTCTAATTCTGCTGGAAGCTGCAGACCAAAATCATGAACTGAATGTATTCCTGCTATCTCAGGTTGTGTTTCATCAGCCTCCTAAGAGACCTTTGCTGTCAGAGACAGGTGTTCTGAGCTGGCAAACATCTGACCAGCACAGAGCCACGCTGCTGGGCTGACACAGGAATTTGGCACCTTCCTGCATGATCTATGCAGTGTTTTACAAACACTGGAGGGCTTTTCTCTTGAGCAACGGCTTATTGAAGCCTTCAGTAATTTCAGTGCAACCATCCAAGTATTTCCAAGAGCAGGAGATTCTGAATTCAAAAAGTCTCGAACAATTGAAGATGACATAATGTTGGTCAGTATTCTGGCAGCAGCACGACGGCAGGGTTAGTTCCTCACCGTCAGCGTGTGAAACTCACGCAGAGGTGATGAGCCCGGGGCTGCTCTGGCCACCTCCGCTGCCAGTTTTCAAGGAAGTCTAACTTATTGAAGGGAACGGACCGTTCAGCAGCCCGGGGAAGGTCATCGAGGTGCACCCGCAGAGCTCACGGGGCGAGGAGGCGGGCCGGGCTGGGGTCTGTCTGTCGCTCCTCACGGCGGCGCACCGCGACTACAGCTCCCGGCGTGCACCGCGGCACAACGCCAGCCCCGCGTTCGGTCTCGCGCCGCGCTGCGTGCCGGGAGACGTAGTTCCCGTGCCAGCCGCGAGCTCCTTGAGCAGCGCCTCACTCACCGGAGCCGGCCACCACTAGCAGCCTGAGAGGGGCCGTCCGCCGACCGCGGCGTCTCCTCGCCAGGAGCGCCCAGGGGACGAGCAGCAAGGGCAGCAGCAGGAGGAGGGAGGCCGCGGTGCCGCCCGGCGGCGGGAACGAAGGCTGCATGGCGCGGCCCGAGCGCCCGCCGCCCCGCGCGGAAGCGCCTCCCGGCAGACGGCGGCCGGCGCGGCCCAAACCTCCCCGCGCCTGCACGAGAGCCGGGGGGCGGCGGGGCGCCGAGGCGGAGCGGGGCCGGGCCGGGTGCCGGTGGGGGCGGTGCGTGCAGGCGGCGGGGGCTGACCCGGCCCTCGGCCTGAGGCTGACCCGTCCGTCTCCCGGACGGCGGGACAGACAGCGATGCGCGCGGCCTCGCACCAGTCCTCGGCGTGCGCCGCGCTCTCGCCTGCGTGCATCGGGAGGCGCGCACCGCTGCCCGTCCTCTGGCGCTGCACGGAGCGCAGGCCGGCACGCAGGAGCGAGCTTCGCCCAGGTATGTGTGCGCAGAGCGCCTAACGATGCGTGAAGTAGGAATAGCAAGACTTTACTGCCGCTCACGGTTCTCGGTTTGATTCGTTCTAATGCTTCAGCCCCGTGTTTCTGTACGAAGCCTGCGGCACCAGATCCGCGTTCTTTCCATCGCTGCAGCGTCCAGCTTCGTGTGGACGGCTGAGCGCAGGACTGACCTCGAGCGAGGGGTGCTGACAAAGCAAGGGTTGCGTTTGGTGATTAGGGGAGAGGGACCTCCGTCAGAGCCGCCTTCAGCCTAGCAGGTAGGATCGGCGCGCTCCAGAACTTCTCAGAGCGGTCCGACGCCGCGGCTTTGTGGATGGCGTGTCAGCCACGTGCCGGTAACCGCTGTGCGCGCCTGCCTCGTGTGCACGGGCACGGGAGCTCCGACGCTGCAGTTTTAGCCTTGGAAGCTGGACGGTTCTCTGTCACTTGTCACAAAAACGTGTGCCAGCCATGGGCTCGAGTAACTGCTGCGTCATTTACAAATAAGGTGCGTGCTTCCCAGCTACCATCCGCCGGCTTAGAGCTGAGTGAATCCTCCTGATTCATGGCCAGCATTTCTTCGCGTTGTGTGTTGTCCTTTCTTACGTCGCTGCAACGTGTAATTAGGCAGTTGTCTGAAGCAGACTATTAAAAGTATTGCCATAGCACGGTCTTCCACTCAGATGAGTAACTGTCCTGTAGACAGCCTCACAAAAGCAATTGCTACTTAATCATCACTGACATTTGGAAACAACAAGGCTTTAATTAATAGTTCTGTTGAGGATGTATAAATCTCAAAAATTATTTTTGCTTTCCACTTAATTAGCTTCATAAAACTAATAATTAGGAACAATAGAGATGTGTGACCTTAAATTACAGAAGAAAGGAGGAAAGCAATGGGGTCCTCTTTTGGAAAGTAACTACGATGTTAAAACGAGTTAACAAGTTGTATAGGCAATTTAATCCTATTTTTGTCTGTTTTGGTATCTTTCTCCTCTTATGCTTTTTCAGTGAAAAGAATGTCCTTAGTGTAAAATATATCCCAGATTACTA